AATCGAAAAGATATTTCAAGCAAAATCTATAGGAAGACCATCGGGCGACTACCCTACAAAGCAAAAGAAATACTGTGATATGTTGAATACAGGAAAAATCAAACAACCAAAGCAACAAACATTAGAGTTTTATAAAATTACAAAAAATGATGATGGAGTATATGTATTATTTGAATAATTAATATCTAAATAATTCTAATAAATGAATTTATTAGAATTATTTAGCGGAACAAAAAGCGTCGGAACCATAGCAAAGTCGCTTGGATTTAATGTGATATCATTAGACTTGAAAAATGCTGATATCAACACTGATATTTTGGAGTGGGATTACAAACAGTTTGACAGAAACCATTTTGATTTTATTTGGAGTAGTCCCCCATGCACTGAATATAGTGTAGCAAAAACTAGGGGAATTAGGAATATCGAATATGCAAATAGTATTGTCTTAAAAACTATTGAGATTATCAAATATTTCAATCCTAAATATTTTGTAATCGAAAATCCACAAACTGGATTATTAAAACATCAGGAGTTTATGGATGAGTTTGATTTTAAAGATGTTGATTATTGTAAATATGGAATGCCTTACAGAAAACGCACTAGGCTCTGGAATAACATTACAACTTGGAAACCTAGAGAATTATGTAAAAAGGATTGTGGCAACATCAGGAATAATAAACATATTGAAACTGCGCAGAGACTGCCACAAAAAAGCAAAGCCGACTGGGGGGAAAACCCCATCATTCATTCACAGAGTGATTTATATAGAGTACCATCCCAATTAGTTTTGGAAATCTTATGTAGTTTGGATTGAAACCCCTTTAAAGAAATGCCATATTAATATGATAGTAATGGATACAAACCGATATAGGAATGGGAAGGTGTATAAAATAACTGATAATGCGTATACTAGATGCTATATAGGAAGCACTTGTGAAAGTCTAAGTCAGAGAATGGCAAGGCATCGTAAAGAATACAGAAACTATTTGAAGGGTGGTAAGTATTTTATAACATCCTTCAATATTTTTGATGAATTTGGTATTGACAACTGCTTGATTGAACTAATTGAAAACTGCCCGTGCGATACAGTGGAAGAACTACGGAAAAGAGAAGGTCATTACAAACTATCGACGGATTGTGTTAATAAGCAGACACCGGGAAGAACATATGCTGAATACAGGGAGCACTACCGAGAACAAATAAATCAACAAAAACGAGACCACTATTGGAAAAACAAAGATGCCATCAATGAAAGACAGAAACAAAAATACACCTGTGCCTGTGGGTCTGTTGTTGGTATTGGTGGAAAAGCAGAGCACGAAAGAAGCAAAAAACATCAGCGGTTTTTAGGGAACATTTGTGAAGACGAAGAAGAAAAACAAAGGCGAGAAAGAAAGAAACAACAAACATACCAAGAAAAGTTAGAAAGAAACAAAATAAAATACACTTGTTGCTGTGGTTCAACGCTCCGAAGAGGAGACAAAGCACCACACGAAAAGACCATCAAGCATCAACAATATCTACAATATAATCAATAGAGACTGTCAAATGGAAACAAGGAAAAATGGGGAGACCATCCAATAATACATAAGCAGGAAGATTTATATAGAATACCTAGCGAATTGATTTGTGAAATCTTAGTGAGTTTGACGGATTAAGGATTTTGAGTTTAGGGTTGTAATGACACCAAGTAGGCTTTTACAAAGGCGCTTTGTGCAAAACGGCTTTGCATGACCTATATAAAATACCTAGTAGTTTAATAATTTGATTTTTGATGAGTTTGACGGATTAAGGATTTTGAGTTTGGGTTGCAATGACATCAAGTAGGCTTTTACAAAGGCGCTTTGTGCAAAACGGCTTTGCGTGAGATGCAAAATGGCTTTGCGTGAGATGCAAAATGGCTTTGCGTGAGGTGCAAAATGACTTTGCGTGAGGTGATTTATCGCATGGCCAGCAGGCTTAAAACCATACTATAATAATAACATTTATACCCTTATATGTTATAATTATAATGTAAGTATAGCGTTTTATATATTGAAGATAAAATCCTACAAGGAGGATGCGAGCGTTAGCGAAGCTCGCAAGCTATGCGACCACGCCTAAAAGTATATATGATGAAAGTGATGAAACGAAGGAGGGGAGTGATGTTGTTGCTGTTCTATTTCTTGTCCGGGAAATGGACAAATCGTTTTTAGACAGTTCGAATATTTTTTTGATGGCAAATATTTTTTGCAATATATTTTGCAAAATTTATTTTTTTGAAATGGATGAGGCGAGGAGATTGAGGAAATGACATTTTGAGAGGTATATGATGAAATGAATGAGGCGAGGAGGAAGGAGAAAAGGATGGCGAAAATTTTGGAAAAATGATGATAAAAAAACGGATGAGATGGACAGAAAGGAATGTAGAAAAATGATGAAAACAAATAAGGGTAGAAGATGGAAGATGAAAAAAAATGTAGGGTGGGGGGTATGTATGAAGCAATTTATTTGCTAGGCGAGGCCCTCCACTACTTTGTCGACCAAGGTTGCGGGTTAACCCTTTTCTTGTTTGGTTTGTTTCCTTTTGGTTGTTGTTCTCTGGTGTGTGGGAAACCCTGATCTTTGGGACCGGGGATTGGTTTGCTTTTGGGGAACCTTTCTTTTGTGGCTTGTTTACCCCAACTTACCCATTGCCTGGGCACAGGCTCGTGCCCGAATCACAATAATTCCTGCATTTGAAAAAGATCACACTCTTCCTTTCTCTCTATCATTTCGTTTGTTAAGAGATAGGAAATGAAAAGTGGGAGGAAAGAGAAGTCATATCAGCAATATCTTCGTTCCGGCTTCTTTCATTTCCTTTCCATTCCTCTCCACACCCTTTCCCTTTGTTTCTAGGAGGATGTGATTAAGAGAGGACGGGCTACCCCTTTTTCAACCATTTTTCATAATTGGACTGTTAAATGAAAAGTGGGGAAAGAGACGCTTCACCCTTAACCCTCGCCGTAGCCCACACCCACAGATCATTTGGTCACCTTCATATCATTCCTTCTGTCACCTTATGCTGCAGAAAGAGAGAGGCATTGAAGCCACTGCGGAAAAAGGCGGGCGAGAAAAACAAGATGCATTATCATTTATATATTCTAGACACATCTTCACTAATAATATGATTTCTATCATACGATGATTCTATTTCTGAGGTTCCTATGTGATTTCCAAGCTTAAAGTGTGTGAAGTAATGGTTGGTAATCAATGTTCTCTCGGCAAACCTCATATCCTACCTACACTTGAATCCCAGATGCAAAGGTGAAAATGGAATAACATCTGGGTTGTTTATCACTTACGGTTTGAATATGTTGTAGCGTTTGTTGCTTCACTGTCTCCATCATATGATATCGCTTTCATTATCCTCTTGCGTGCTCATTTTATATAGTTCTGTGATCTTTGTGTTTAGCGTGTTTTCTTGGAATTTCCACCTCTTGGGCACGTCCGTGATAACAGATTAAGAGATTCCAGCGGTTACAAATGGTTTCCTCTTCCTTCACCCTTTTCTATCTTCACCAAATCTCAAATTAAAATTTCAATCAAGGTGAAGATAGATGGATCTGAGATCATGTACTGTTTGTTCCTGATGGTTTTCTTTATATGTTCATAATCCAAATTTCCGAGATCCATCATTGGCGAGCGGAAAAGATGGTTACAAGAAGGGCGTTATCTATTTCATTTCTTTTCCCCACCGTTATATTCTCTGGGATTTCCCGGGCCCAAGAACCTGTAAAGGATATGGAGGCATGAAGGCTGGGCGGATTTACGAAGAACTAATTTATCCGTCCCATGCCTCCATTCTCCCTGAAATTTCCCGAGATGTGACTTCTGGAAAGGCATAGATAGCAGAAAGAAAGACATATGAAAGAGATGAGTGAGATTAATGGGGTGCCAACATCCCACCATCTCTTTCCCACCTTCCCTCTCTCACATGCTCATCTATCACTTCGGAAATGGGTGGGAGAGATATACAAAGGGAAAGGTGCTCAGTGTCGTTTGTCAAGGATGACTCAGTGAGGAGCCCTTACACCGCACACGTCAGCTTTCCGTCGCTAACTGCCGCCGTGTGAAGGATGGTGAGAGAGGAAAGGGTGGTGAACGGGAAGGATAGGAAAAGGATGATGTCATTCGCGTTATCCCACTCACATTTTTCTTGCGATTACTGAGCCTTCGCATGGCATCCTTTCCTGGAAAGACACTTTTCTTTTATCAATCCAAAAGTCGCTGGACATTTGTATTTGTAGGAATTGCTAAAGAAGAAAGGGTAATGGAAGCATGGCCATAAGAGAATATTAACCAGCTTCTCCTTTTCACATCTTCTAATATGTGTTTTTTAAATTTTCTATATTATAGCAAAGGGAGATACCAGAGAATTACCCAAGAACGCAAATGAATGGGAAATGAGAGACAGATAGAAAGAAATATCATATTTTCCCCAGCCTTTCCGATGTGACTTCTGGAAACTCATCATCTTCTAATTCTTTCTTTGTTACACATGTCTAGTTCTCAAGTCCGAGTTTCCGCAGCATGCGGTCTAACCAAGAAGAAAGAAAGAGATATACAATACGTATTGCTTGCCAAGTTTTTTAATAACTATCTGTCGGCTTGGCTAGTGCGGAAGAGATGAGAGAGGACAGACCATTTCTTGTCTAGTCTGCTTTTATCCTACATCTCTCAGCATCTTTTTGCCTCTAACCAAGCCATCTTTATTACTAGCATCATATTTTGCTCAGATTGGTTAGGAGGAAGAGCAAATGGAGAAGCGGGAGATGGTGCACGAACAAAGAAGAGCTCGTTTGTAGAGTTGGGCTTTTGCCAGCCGCAGCCTTTCAATGGTCATCACTTGGCCGCCTTGGGTGTCCAAATCAAGGGTTTCGACTGCACATTTGTTACATATAGTGTTTGCTGAAACAGGTGGGAACTACGTTTCAGTGACTGCGAGAGCCTAAAGCTGGTAGGACATTTGGGCCGCCAAGGTATCTGCAGGTTGTGGTGGCGAACTTGCACATGCCTCAGATGAGTTGGTCAGTCGTGCCGGCAGTTGCAGCATGCGATCCGCATGTATCCCGGTCGAGCACAACGCATCTTCCTCCTAAACATTCCCCACACAAAATGAATACGCATCCTTCTCATGACCAGTGCTCAGCACTGTTGATCTGGAAGAAGTGCGTACTGTTGCCGCCCCACCACTAGATTCCAACCCGGTTTTTTGCCCAAATGGGCCTTTCGTTGCCCAGCTGAAAACCACTACAACAATGACAGTCAACGACGCAAGCGTTTGAATTGGATGTATTCAGCTGCAGAAATGTGTTGCCATGAGTCTCACCTACTTATAAGTGCTGTTTTGCCACTTGAGATGAACTTACGGACAACTTATGAAGTCTAGATATAAGTGTACTTATAAGTAGTTCGTAAGTAGCGTAAGTAGCTTTCGTTCTGCGGACCCCTGTTTTTTGATGCTGCGCAGGTTGACACGTTTCATTTCGTCTGAAGGTTTTTTTCTGGACTCAAGGGATACGCTTTGTCGTTGTTCCAGAGCCATTGGCGGTGTGAAAAAGGCGAGGGGCACTGACCCCCCCCCCCAAAAAAAAAGGAAGACGCGCCGCGACCTTTTTGGCTCAAAGCAGTCTGGCGCACAGTTAGTGCAAGCAAATCATACCACTGCGGCATCAGGATGTGCTCAGAGAGCTATCGCAGAGCTGCCAGATGCTGCCTTGCGTGCCTTGCGTGCCTTGCGTGCCTTGCGTGCGGCCGGCGCTCGCAAACGTTGATGCGCGGCGTATCCCAGAACACCGTGTCGTTCAGCATGGCTCCAGCAGCTAAAGAAGAGCCTACGCAAAAAGCTATAGAGCCAAGCAGACAAGCAGATGCACCAAAGCCCACATTTCGCGATTTCGGACAAAGCCCACCGACATCTCACCGACTTTGCACTGACATGCTCGCGGCGCCACGACGCTCCCACCGACGTTCACCGACATCTCGTGACTTCCATATTTTCAACAGACTGGGGGTCATTCACTGACGTTTTTCGGCCCAAGAATCTTGGAATCCCATCCCAGCTATGTATCTCCCACCGACATCCTGAAGCCGCGATAGCCCCAGACCCCCACCGACACCCACCGACCTCTCAACGACATTCGCGCCCATCCCTTTTGTCTCTAGAAAACAACTAAGAGGGGTCCAGCCGCAAGCATGTCAGTGCAAAGTCGGTGAGATGTCGGCGGGCTTTGTCCGAAATCGCGAAATGTGGGCTTTGGTGCATCTGCTCGTCTTTTTGGCTCTATAGCTTTTTGTGTAGGTTCTCCGACGGTGCCGTCGGACACGCCTCGCATCAACGTTTGCAAGCTGCCAGCGCGAGGAGAACGCCGGCCGCACGCAAGGCACGCACTTTGTGTGAGAATGCATGTGTGCATGTGCGTGACGCTTGCGGGCCCATGGAAAGTGCCTTGCAAGGTTGCAACTCTTGCGTGCGTGGCTTCCTCGATTTGTAAAAGATGACCCTAGATGAAGGGAAGCAAGGACCTGGTCAAGCCTGCACTCTGGACCCGCGTCGCGCCATGTATCTCTTTAAGACGGGTTTCGCTTCGCTCTGTGCTGCGTCCACTTCCTTAAAAAAACCCAACGCTCCAGTGCCGGGAAGAGCATGCTCTGTGTGGACCCTTGAAAACAAACAAAAATCGTAAGTAGCGTAAGTAGTTTGTAAGTTTGCTAAGTATGTTCCGCATAAAAAGCCTATATCACTTGTAAGTCCCGCCGTAAGTATGCTAACTTTTCAAGAACTTATGGTATTTTCGGCATTTATAACTTCTAATGCGGGTCTTATAACTACTGTTGCGGAACTTATAAGTGCTGTTTTTTATGTAGGCGAGACTCATGGTGCTCGATCGCGATTCCCCCCCAGAACGTCGCCCAGCTCAGTTTGTTTCGGGTAGGTCGCTGGGCCCTTGAAGGGAGGAATTCATCTATGATCACTTCCGTTGTTCTTCACGTTTCGGGTGTTTAGCCACACGGGCAATTTTGGTGTGGGATTGAGTTTTCAAGCGATTGAAACCATTTCTTTTGGGACATCCACTTGTCAGCAGAAGCAGCTGGCGAGTTGCGAGGCCGCCCGCCGTCCCACCGCCGCCTATCCACGAACACTTGGCGGCCAGGGCCATGGATTCAGATCCGCAAGGGGGGACATTGACACGACACCAAGTTTTTTGTTTAAAAAAAGAAGCACACACACACACACGCACACACACACATTCATATATATATATATACATATACAAAACACACGCGCACACACACACATGCCTTCCACTCAGTCATGCAAGGTGATGTTGTTTCCATGAATTTCCAAGTTTAGCTGGTGTTTGGTGGAACTTGGCACGTGGTGATGTGGTATTGTTGTGAATGCGTTTGTGAAATTGGTTTTTGTTTTTTGGTGTGTGTTGGGTTTCCGTGCGAGGGGAGTGATCCTAGCCCCCTGTGCGGTCCACGGGATTTCCCTTTGTTCCAACTGAAAAGTTAGTCAGGTGGCTGGTGTCCAGGAGGAAGAATGGGTTGACAGAGGCGGAGGAGCGGCATGGTGAGGAGAAACTCGATAGGACCGATCGGAAATGCAAATGAGCGACCAAGTAGTGTCCGCCCATCCATTTCTCAGTTTCTTTCAACTTACCATTCTCATCCAGTATCGCATTCTTGACGTTTCCAGATGAGATCACGGTTGCAATGGGTTCTTAGGTAAAATTGTTGTATGGCATTGCAAGCATGCCCCCTTGAAATGCCACGCCGCCGCATTGTCCACCGGCAACGACTGCTGCAAACAGTGCGCTCCGAGAATCAACCGGAACTTCCATTTGCTTGAGACTATTTTGTATTTTCCCTGTTGGTTTTAAAGGGAATATTGTTTTCTCTGTTTTTTTTTGTATCCAGGGGGCTTAAGCGCCGCATGCGTAAGAGTTTTTGAGTGGTAGCCTTGTTGCCTGCCTTGTCTTGTTGTTTTTATGTGATGTCAGGTGCTGTGTTTGCTTCTTGATCACAACGCTAGGCAGCATTGTATGCGCCTGGCAAGTTTTGTTACAAATCCCCCGGGTGAGAACTGGCGGAAAGGGCAATGTGTGTGTGTTTTTACGCCCAGCATTTATGGTTCCATTCATGGAACCTGCCAACCGCATTTCTCCTGCACATCTCAAGCAATAGCAGCCCGATCCTGCATGACAGGATCTGGATGAGCCCTGTTCAAGCAGATATGCAGACTTCCATACGTGCAAAGAGGATTGAGCGGAAAGAGCGGCGCTTTGCTGCTGGTTGCTCCTCAATTGATCTTAATATTCCTCCGCCAAGTTTCTTTGCACGTTCACCTCTTGGGTCACACTTTCACCCTACCTTGAGTTCATGCAGCTGAGCATGGCCTGCAACATAAACACAATGCCTCAAGTTGCATAATTGACTGAGGTCATTTGCGAGCAAAGGTTGACAGATGTTGTTGGCGTTGCTTGGTAGTGTTCTTGTGTGCCTGGAGTTTCCCGCAGTTCTTCTGGCTTGAGGCCCAGACATTGGAATCGAGCAAGCTGTTGCTGCAGCCGCCGCCGAACCTGTCAGAGCCTCGGTCGCCTCCCACTTTGGGGCCAAGAGGACTCGTCCATCCTCACCCTTTCAACATGAACTGAGGGCGGTGCCATTTGAGTGATCTAGTGGCCTTCTACGAAACGCCGACTATGCAGTCGTTGTGCGTTGTGTCTGGCTTCTCTCTCCTTCATGGCCGTTTGGTCCGCATGAAACGAACAAATGGCTGGTGAAAATTGGGAGGCTTTACAAGTTGCAAGGTTTGCCTTTGTGGTTGCCGTTTAAGCCAAGGCCGGGCCCCCACTAAACATCCAAGACCACCCCCGGCCCCCTCCCTCTGCGTGTGTCGTTCTGTCCGCTCTCCCCTGAAGTTTTCCCAGGTTCAAGTCCACCTTCGAGGCGGCGCATCGGCAGCCGGGCAGCCCGGGTTCGGTTTGATCTGGGCTTGCCTCTTGGCTGGGCACAAGAAATGGGGCGGTTTCCCCCAGAAGCCTTTCCTAGGATGCTTTGGCTTTTTAGGGTTTTGGGTTTGGTTGTGGCAGAGAAGACTCTGAGGTAAATGGGAGGCAGAAATGGGAGGGAAGGAAGGATAACTGGATTGGGTTGCTTGCTCCCTCCCCCTTGGCACCTTGCATCGCCCAAGGTCCACCGGGGAGCTGTGGCTGCAGAGGCACATCGCAGCCTTCGATGCAGGGAACCGCCGGAAGCGCAAGGAGGCCGCAATCGATGCCGGGATTCCCGTTTTGTTAAGTGCGTTGCGAAATATTGGTTGTTGCCTCTGGTTTTGAAGGGAATCAATCACCACTGGACATATGTTTATTTTACGGGGGTAAAGCAAAGTCTGGATGAACCCAGCAAACCCCAATAGCAGTGAAACACCACCAAACCAACACTTCACACTGCCGGGACCCACCAACCCACAGAAACACAACCGAGACAGCACCCCAAAAAGCATTATTGACACAGAGGCACACCACCAAGTATACGTACCACCGACACAGAGCACCTTGAAGGTGAAAGCAGACGTTTGGTTGCCACTTGCCGTATGAAGCTGGCAGAATCTGAGGTAGTTACGAGGCCACGCTGATAAAGGCGCCCAGATGTGACCGGGTGCTGAATGAGCAGCAGTTGAAGATTGTGGCCGCGGGTTGGGGCGCCCCGTTTTTTTGTTTTGTTTTTTAGTCAAAAATCAGGAGCACCCCTTCCACGGTTTTGTGAATTTGGCTGCCACTTGCCATAACAGCCATGTGGCATTCGATGGGGGGTCAAAAATGTGCCGCTTAAAACATGTTGTTGTTGCTTCTGGGCAAACATGGTAGGTGACCTGTTCTGTTTGAAAGGGGCGCGAGTGGAGCATATTTCAATATGTTTCAATAACGTGGCATGAGGAGGAAAGAGAGAGAGAGAGAGAGAGAGATCTCCCCAGCATGAAAGTACATGGCTAAATTTGCCCCTCTCAGCGCGACTGTCCATAGTATTATATACGCAAACAACCATTTGTACCATTTGGGTTTGCACTCTTTAGGGTAGCCCTTTTTGGGTCTTTCAAGGGAACTTGAAAGGAAACCACCCATAAGGGTTCCGATATGCTGATGCAAACTTATGGAACCCAAACACTCTTGCAGATCCAGTGGCCAGGTCTTGGAAGAGTTCCTGGAGTATGTGAAGCAAAGCACGCTTACTGGCATGGAGGCGAGTGATTGCGAATGATGCGGCTGCTAGGCCCCCCGCTGTCCAAAAGCAAGTGCACATTCCATATGACACACGCACATATGTATAATGTCAATGCTTCAATATGTTCATTAGTTGAGGAATGTTCACTCAACAAGTGTATAGTCTGTTTATTTATTGAGTTACTTACTTATTGAATCATTCATTTATTTATATTTGTTTTTTTTAGATCTCCCTTTCGTGCAGGATTGATACTGCAACATGCAACCGTACGAATACATTTATGCATGTATGATTATGTTTATGTTCAGAATTTGGATGTGTTGATCCGCATTCATGCAATTGCATATTCATATTTAGTCCAACTCTTCATGCCTCATAATTAATCAAGACCTGGCATGTTCTTTCGTGCTGCAGCTTGCGCATTTTGTTACGGCACACGTTCACCGTACAGTTGCAAGATTCCCTGAGGATCAAAATGGGCTGCCCACATTGCACATCCCTCCGCGCGTTTCAGAAGGAATGGGTTTCTGTTTTTCCTGGTTTGGCTGAAAGCCATAAAAAGCCTCTCCAGGTTCTTGCTGACCACGTGGTCGCCAGTCAGCCATTTGTTTGTTTCCCCAAGGGTGTATTCCTGTAGCAACATCTATGGCTGGCCAGCCAAGCCTTGGGGGTGGCCTTGGGCAGGCTTCTGGAGGGTTCAAGACCGTGGACATGCTTGCTGAAGCAAAAGGGCCACGCGCGTTCAATCGCCAGCCAAGTAAGTACTTTGCCACGTTATGTGCGGATTGGCGCTTGGTCGTGGCTTCATGTTGTCTCTACGTTATGCAACTGCCCTGCTGCATATGCCCCCAAACCGACACCCAGCATCCCGGTCCGGCATCTAAGGGTCTAACCCAAATCCTCCCTGAGCCAGCCCTTAGCCACCACTCCACCACCATGACCAGGGGGCCTACGACCTGGAACATCTATGTTATACACGCAGTGAATCGCAAGAAACTGGCTTTGGGATGGCAAAAGCTCGAAAAGTCTTGGGCGTCTTTGGCCACACCATTGCAGGAGCTCTTCTCTAAAGAGGCGCACCTCTTCTTGGCGCGGCTCACCAGCTGCTTGGCAGCGGTTTGGATTTTAAACCTCTCTAGCAGCGTTGTTTAAGTAGCCAAACGTGTGTCGCTTGGCTTTTGATGGGGTCTGCCTTCTTTTCAAAATCTATCTTGGGGTTCACGAAAAGCGGACAAGCCCAAATTTCACCCCATCCAGCCATCAACTTTCCCAGGCAATCGCGAGCCAGGTTGGTTCTCCATCACCTTGCCTTTGCTCTACGAGCTTCCCTTGCAGCTGCCCGGGTCTCAAATTCGTGGCTCGGGGTCGGGAGGTGTTCTTTTTGTACTTTTAATTAGGTTGGTTGGCTGGTCACTTGGCCCTGTGGTTGCCGGGTGGCAGTTGGGAGTTGCTGGGGGCTGGTTTAAATAACCACACCCTACAGCAAAACTCGCCCACAACTCACTGAACCACACTCTAAGCAACCCTAAAGCCGCTGCTAAACCAGCAGCACACCTCCATAAATCAGCCCCAAGCCAACGCAAACCCACTCAAAGACAAGCCTAAACCCGCCCAACAGCAGCCTGGATGCCAGCCCTTGAAGATCTAAGCCAGCCAAACGTCTCCCTAACTTAAACCAGCCCCCAGCAACTCCCAACTGCCACCCAATCAGAGCCGATAAGCAAACCAGGTCCAAGTGATGCTGGTGATGCTGGGGACATTACCATACTGAAGGCCAAACGGACCTAGTACAAAAAAACGGACCTAGAAAAAGAACCATCTACCTTGGGTTATGATCGCGCGAAACTGCGAGGTTCTTCTCACTTCCTGAGTTCCGGGACTTCAAGCTTTTTGGGAAGACCATTTGGTGGCTTTTTAGAAAGTTTGGTTTCCTTTGTTTGGCCAACCTCACTCAAGAAGTGAGTCTTGTTGGCTTCTAAACTTGTTGCCCACCAAAAGCAAGTTTCGCCAAAATTCGAGACACCCAAATCTTAGTACTTTCTTGGGGGTTGCCATAGTTGACCGCGCGAACAAATATGTGGAACGTCAGTTGCTGGGTTGTGGGCTCTCAAGAGTTCTGGGCTTGGCGAGGGGTGGCAACTGCATTCAATTTGGCGTGAGCCATCCTCACCCTGAGGTTAGGTTCTTGATCCAAGGTCATGGCCAGGGTTCATGTGTACTTTCAGGATTTTCCCATGTCCCATGTCATTGTTTTTCTCGTTTCTTTTTAGCTAGATGACATATTTCCCTCTGCGCCATGTCGGGCTGAGGAAGGTCTTCCTGGTTTTCCTGGAGTTCCGGGAGCAGCCCGGGATCCCGGTGTTTGAAGGCACCAGCGGCGGCAGCAGGCTGCAGGCTGCAGGCTGCAGGCTTTGCATGAAGCTTCATGGGGGAAATGCAGGGCGGGTCGTAAATTTTGGCCGCGAAGCAAAGCGAAGCATGCAGCCTTGCAGCTTTGGCATGAGTTTCATGCCGGATAGGCGGGATGCGTGAATCGTTCGTGGGCGTTTTGCAGTTGCATCTTGCATCTTGCTAAGCGGTATATTTCCGACAGGTTCCAAGCGGTTTTGGGGAATCAGAAGCTGAAGCCCGTTTGCCGCTGCAGTCCGTGTCACGAGGTTCGATGTAGGCAACCTAATGATGACGAGCTGTTGGGGGTTGGGTGACCATGTTTGAAACAGTCATCCTTGTTGGAGCTTGACTTTTGACGGCACTGGGCGCACTGGCGGGAGCACTCGGGCCCGGGGCCGCGGAGCCCGAGTCACCAGACCTCCAAATCATACCCTTGTCCAATCTTTGGGGAGAGGAGTTCCTTTGAAATCATCTCCAAAACGTGCATGGCTCTGTTTTTTCCATGGCGAGTGGAGGTCTGAGTTCTGGCACATGATTTGTTCCCTGCCTGTTCCCCCCACCCTCCCTACCGTGAAGGCCTAAGTCACAAGAACGGAGTGGTGGAGTACTTAAAAGCTAAACTGGGGGTTTCCATTTAACCCACTAAAAGTTAAGCTTTAGCAGGGGATCAGTTTAGACAGCCAAGATGTGGGGAATTTGTTTAGTCATGGCCTACGTGGCGCGTGCTAACCCTTTCTTGGCCACTTCATGTGCTCCGATCACTGTTTTTCCTGGCCACGGATGGCCTTGTACCCGAAGAGCCGGGTCCCCACACTTCTTGGGCTATGTTGCTGTCCAGCTGCTGTTTGGTTTGGACATTCCGGTCAGGTCAATCGTCCGGGCCTTCTTCGAGTCTGGCGCCGTGGTGGCGCTCATGAACGCCACTGGGTCCGACAACTGAGCAGCACCCCAAACCTCTATCTGCCATGCCACTAGCTGGCTTCACAAATATGATAGTAAAGCCTACTAATATGAACATGTATAGCCATGACGAGCTCGGGGGGAAGCTAATTTGGCTGGGACTTATCAATAGGGGTGACGGCAATGGTCAAATCATTGGGTCGCTAGTCGCTAGTTCTAATGATCGCGCAGGGGGGAAACCGAGCTTGCCACTGAAAGTACTGAGTGGTCCCTCACTGAAATGATTCTAGTTTCTGCCGGGCTGTGGCCTTTTTCTGAGCCTCCTTAGGGGCAGGACAGCATGAAGCCAGGGTACAACATGAAATGGGTGCATGGATGACCAGTCTTGAAGAGCCCTCTCAGCCAACCTGACCTACTGTTATTCCAATAGACCCTAAGAGGGCATGGTTTAGCCAAGGTCAGGTCACGTCCAACTGAGGTCGGCTTGTAAATGCAGAGTTGTGCTGTATATTTCGGCTGGGGTCCTCTTTAAACTTCAGCTTCACTAAGTTTGGAGCTTGAGACATCCAGCATACTGTTTTTGGTGGGGGGGTATGCGCATGACAACTTCTGGGCTGAGTCGTTTGGAACACTCCTGGAGCATATATCCATGCATATCCCAGCGCAGTCCGGGTGGGGCGCGGGGTCTTGTTGGAGGGAGAATCCTAGTGAGTGGGTCATATTGTTGGCAAGGAGCAGTGAGAAGTATCCTGTGTCAGCACAAGAATGCTAGCAATAGCTTGCTTAGCAATGGTGGTCACTTAGTCAGGGGTCGATGTCTTGAAGATCCAGATGAGCATTCTATTGCGGGACCCCAGGAAAATCGGTATGTTCGTCAAACTCATCATTCCAATTCCGAGTTGTTCGGTGGCACCTCGCTTGTGTTTGCAAAAAGGATCCCCTTTCCATCAGATTCGCAGTTCCAACGGGTTGGGACCCGCCAAATGGGGGGGTCGTCTTTAAATCTGGTAGCACCCGCCCAACGAACTGTGTGTGCACGTTTTCCTTGAGTTTTCGTTCACCCAGCCGAAGGCTAACTTCCAAAAAGAAGTAGCCACACACATAAATGTCCCCTTCATAGAAAAGTACTGTGGATGGAGAAAATCCTGCACCACCCAAAGAAAAGCCAGTGTTTGTTCCACCGTAGGTTCCTTTTGTAACTTCCGCCCGCTTTGTTTCCTCCATCCGAAACCAGGGTTTTGTAGGTGCAGAAAAATCGCAACCATCCACCGTATGTTCAATGTGTCCGCCCATGTTTTTCTCCTCCCAGATAGGTCGGTTCCGATTCCGCCCTTTTCCCTTTTAGTGAAGGATTCCTTTTTTAATGGGGTCACCCATTTTCTGGAAGAATGGTGGAAAGACCCGGAACAAACACAGGACCAAGCACAGTCTTACAGAGGTCAAGCCTGTATGCTCCATTTATCTCCATTTACATCCGCAGGCTGACCAAATGAGCTCACGTGAAAGGAAACAAATGGCTGTGGCTCACAAAACCGGAATTCCAAAATGGCTTGCTCTGGTAAGTGGAAACATGGGTACCAAAAAAAAACCGG